CTCTCACTATTTAACTTTGTCACACTTATGAACGCAAATCATTTAACTCTTTCCATAGATCTCTAAAACCAATTTCTTTAAGCAAACAAATTAATTTTTCTTAAAATTTTACTAAGTTAACCTACTTTTGGCTTCTAAATAAACTTCTTCTACTTAAAATTTTGCCTCTAGGCAATATAAAATTTATCTATATTTTTAATTCTATACAAAACTATTTTACAATTTTCTAAAACTAGTACTCTTTATGAACTTTTTTTAATTTCTTAAAATTTTACTAAGTAATCTAATTCCAACTTCTAAACAAACTTGTTCTATTTAATTTTCCGCACCTAGACAGTATACTGTTAACAAAAAATTAAACCTCTTTACAAAAAATTTTTTATATTCTTTTTTAAAATGTACATCTTAATTTTCTCAATAACTAACAAATAAAGCTTATATTATTTTAAGCTAGATATATCAAGCTCATCGAGATGAACATTTCAATATAAATTTTATTAAAAACAGACCAAAACTTAAAAAATTATTGAAAAATTCCTTTAAACTCTCTCCTAAACTCTCTTCTAAAATTCTATTGGTCGATTTTGGAAATTTTACTGGCTTGCCCCAGAAAATTCACTTTTTTTATTTTAAATACCATTAAAAAATCCGAAAATCTCTCACATAATTCTGGAAAACTTATCAGTTTTTTGGAAAATTTACTGGCAATTTACAAATCCTTAAATATTTCGCTTACTTTCTAAGATTTTTAAAATCTTTCTTCACAATACTATATAAATTCATATCTTCTCTGCACAATAAACAACTTATTTTTATACTTTTTATATTGAAAATATGCAAAAAATTACAATTTAAAATCTTATCTTAAAAATTTTTTTTCTTAACTATAAATACCGGTTCTTTTATATTCTCTCTCCTTCCTTTATTTAATTATTAATTTTTTTATATACAAATAGAACAACAAAAATTATATCTATCAAATACACTAATTACACAATCTTTACTACTCTTAGACTGGTTCTAACAATATCCTATCTCTACAAATCAAACATTATATACTACTCTAACTCCATTTGGTCTTCATACCTTTAATTACTTAAAACCAATATTTAAAGATTTTTATTCTGGCTCAACAATTAAATCTTCAACTTCCAATCTATTCAATTCAGCCAATAAACCTATTTACAAAAATAATTTTAAAAATTTACTTATAACTATAAAAAAAGAAAAACCCAAACTCTTTATTAATTTTATTTTAAAACAAAACCCCTTTATAAATGATCAAATTTTAATACCATCTCAAATACTACACTCTACACTTGAAGCACTAATACTTGGCCTTACCAAATGTATTTTTGAATCCCAAAATTACAAAAACTTCTTTAATTCTCGATATCTTTTACTCTCATATTCAATTAACAAACAGTTTCAAATTGCTATAAATTTAGCAAGATTACATCTTTTCTTACAAAACAAATATCAAACTATTGATTACAAAAAATTTTTTCAAGATTTAAATCTTAAACCTCTTAAACTACAAATACACTTTCATATAAAACATGATCAAGAAAATTTATTTTCTTTTCAAATCAAAAACAATCATAAATTTCATATTAATATAACTCTTAACATCTTATTAAAAAAATTTTTAAATACTTACTATATTCCTTTCTTTTCTTTATTTCTTACACAATTTGATACATGGTTTAACAAATTCTACAAACATTACTCTATACAATTCAATAATATTAACAAGAAAAAGATTTATAACTATATCAAATTTCAAATTATTTCTCAAATTAATAGTGAATACAAAAAATTACTACCTCAACAATTTCCCTTTCCAAAAATTTTTACTTTAAAAGAATAAACTCAAACCTCTATCAAAGCAGCTTTATATCATTTGTACAACTGTACAAACAACAAAAAATGCAAAACCTTAAACTCTAAAACTACTCATAATCTCCATAATTTAACTACCTTTTACTTTAAACAATCTTTCCAACTATTACCAGTTATTTATTATACTTTTCCAAATCTCAACTTCTCTATTTTTCAAACCAATCAACCTTATAAAGCCACTTTTAATACACCCTTTCCTTTTGAAAAACTCTATAATCTGGCAAATGAAGCAGAACAAAAATTTACTCAATTAAATCAAACATCAACTAATTCCAAACGTGTTTCTTTCTTTTTCTACTCTTATTTCAGGCCTATTTAAAAGCAACAGCATATAATGACAAAATTATAGGACTTAATCTTATAGAAGCTCTGTATAAACTTACAACCTTATCAGCTAACTCACAAATCCTAACTAGAATTATAGCTTACTATGATATTATACAATTAAAAAAACCAACAATCTCTCAACTAAAGCTAAATCTCAAACAATCATATCTTCAGCAAGCAGAAAAATTTATTACTCGAAAATTTAAACTTACTACTCCAAATATAACTAATAATCTTTTTTCTACTCAAATTCAAATTCCAAATATTGATGATATTGATGAATCTTTTTTTATTTAAATTTAGACAACTATATCTTCTTTTCAAACTCTATTTATATTACAAACAAATATTTTAAAACTACTATTTAACTTTCTTTTAATCTCTTTTTACTCTCAACTTCATTATTATTTACTCACTATCTAATTAGGTTTTCTCTTACCAAATTTGCTTTTAAAATTCTTATTAATATTAATATTATCTTTGGGTTTAAAAGTTAGATAAAATAGAGATATAGTGTTATGCTGGGTGTCTAAATTCTTTTAGTTTTAGTAACATAAGTGTTTTAGAATTCTTTAACAGATCTTAACTATGTAAATATTGTATTGAGTTATTCTATATCTTAATAAGATTTCTAATATTGACACAAAAAAAAAAAAAAAAAACTTTGTTGCACTTCCTGATAACTCTACTTCTATACCTAATAATAGAAGATGCAAATAGTGATGCCACCGAAATTGATTTTCAAAAAAGGCCTATTTCGTCTCCATTAGAGCAAATTAAAATTTTTTATAAGAAAGAGCAAATAAAATTTATATATTTATAATTTCATCTATTTAAAAAAAATATTGTCTTTTAAGTAAAATAGATCAAAAACAATTTCGTCTTCAAATTTTAATTTCGGGTTTTAGAACCCAAAATAATTTCGTTGGCATGTATAGATGCAAACTGCAATTCAAACCAACTCTGGCTTCTCTTTAAGAATATGAGTAAAGCCTATAACTCAATCAACTTTGAATTATTTCAAAAATTTTTGAGTAAATCCAAATGCCTCAATAGCTTATCAATATTCTAACCAATCTTCTATTTGATCATACCAACTGTGTTATTATTAACCTTGGCTTTACCAATTTTTACTTAGTTAAAAATGGTATTGATCAAGGTGAAACTATTACCCCACTCTTTTGGAGGATCTATTATGATCCTCTTATCTCCAATATCTCTTTACACTTTTCTGGATATACACTCTTCACTTCTTATCAAACTAGCTTCATTTACCCTTCTACACACCACCTCAATACCTTTATTTCAGTTCTTGCTTACATAGACAATACATTATGGATTGCTCTATCCAAAACTCGAAGAAATTATTAAAACTGCCTCCTCCTTTTATTCAATAGCTAACATCCAAGTCAACCCACCAAATCTATATTATTACTAAGAAATCCTTCTCTAACCTCTCATTTCTCAACTCTACTCTGAATCTACTCCACCCCATCAGCCCTTTAAATTTTAAGATGCTGGTTTACCCTAAACAACAAACAGTCCTCACAAATCAAACTCATCCAAGATGAGGCTATTCAGTTAGCAAATATTGCTGCCACTAAAAATATAACTGATAAACAAATTACTTATATTATTAATACTGTCATTATTTCAACTACTGAATACCAGCTTTACAATATTGTAATCTCTCTTTACAACCAAATCTTAGGCAAATACCTTACTATAGCCAAGCACAAAGTATATATCTCTCACTCTACTCCCAACAGCACACTTCTCAACTATAATCTTTACAATATTCACAATATCTGAGATATACAACTTCAATATCATACTAGCAACTTTCTTAATAGAATCAATAATTCTTCTACTCTTGATGCCATAACACATATTCGACTTCAACAACCTCAAAACAATCTTTGGTTTGCAATTAATATTCTTCAATATCCCCACTCTATCATTGATAGCCCCCAATAAACACACTACTACTTTGAAAATCATACAACTTTTTAATTATTTATATATCTCTATACATGCTAATTCAGACTTCTCCTAGCCCAAAACCATAAATAATAGTAATACTCTACTAGAAAATATTCTTTTTAACCACCTTAAATATAATACTTTCAAACAACAACTAAGATACAAATACATCTTATACTTAGAGGAACTCTGTTTAGCAGACAACAAGACCTTGTTAAACTGGCTACATTTATTTCCTAGAATTCTACATATTCCTAAAGGCAAAAAACCACTTTAGTTTAATTACTTAGAAGACTTTATTCTCGAATATAATTTATCTCATGCTATTTAACCTCACTTTCATCTCAAAAGTTCTAATTCTTTTGCATATCAAACCAACCTCATTTCTAAAACTCACAAACTCTGGGTTTTATCTTATCACAATGAACAAATTGTAATCAGTCAAGTTTACAAAACCTTTTACCAAATAAATACCATCTCTATCACACACTGGCAACATGACATTGACACTTCAATCTCCAATTACTACCCATTATCTTCTATTTCTTGCACATCTTGTCAAGGCTGTAATATTAACTCTAATTATATCTCTAGTTGTTGTACTCTAGAAGTATCTGCTATTCTTTCTACCCAGTTTCTGAAAGGAAAAAAGCCAACAAACAGCTTAATTTTAATGCAAACTTCATTCACCTTATCTACTTTACAAATATTAAACACCCTCTAGAAGTACCACCATCACCTTCAACTAATATTATTGACTCTCCAATATCTACAAAAAATACAACAAGTCATTCATGATCTACTGTTAGCCCAAACTCTTCAGTCCTATGCACAAATTGTTGTATATTCGCAAATATAGTCATAGCTCTATTTATATCCCCACTATCGAGGGTTTTTGAATAATTAGTTATAGTTTCATTAAATAAATCATATTTTTTATCTAAACTAACGACCTTCTTTACTTCATCGCCTACTTCAAATTCATTAATGGATAACTCGATTCCAGCAGCCACAGCTTCAACAGCAATCAATGCCTCACTTACTATTGAAGCTGAAGCAATGAACCTAGCAACCAATGTAAATATAAAATCTATAAGTTCTTTTTTCTGGGAAACAAGCTCAGATTTAATATCATTTAACTTATTTAATGTATAATTAGTCCATCTCTTAGTCCGAGAGAAAATTTTTTTTTTTTTTCTTTGATAACCGTGTACTAAAATTTTATTAAATATATAATACTTAATACAAGACCAAGCTATCTAATAGGTAATTAGATTAAAAGCCAGCTGTCTCTTAAAGATACCCAACTTTGGTTATCACACTGATGTTGGCCATTATACCCCACATACAGTATGCCATATTTAAAGATATAGTCTAGCCGGGGCCCAGCTCCCACCTCAGGACCTCTTTTTCCTTCTAATTCTTCCTTCTTCTCAAGAGGCACAAGATAAAAGGGGAAAAGTTTAAAACAAAAACAAATACGAAAAGACCAAAAAAGAAAAACAAACAAAAAGAAAAAATAAACACAAATTTTGAAAAAGAAAAAATATGAAAAGAAAACTAAGACCCTAAAGGCACTATTATAACCTGTGCAAGGTTGGTAAAAATTATATAACAAATGCAACATTTGTATATCTCTCTTGTAAAGGTAAAGCTTTGTCTTAATATTAAAGTTTACTTTCTGACCTTTTCACTGACTTCAGATGGCTCCGTTGTTCGAGGCCCTATATCAAAGCTACCTTTTGTCATAATTTGAGTTCCCAGGCTGAGTTCCATGCAGTAGCACTATATCTGTTATAAACAAACACGTGGTTGCAATCTACTAGTTCTTCTGAATTTGGAAAATAAACAATGTTGATCTTTTGGAGAAGGTAAGCCAAATCCCTACTTTTTGTTGAAAAATTTTGAAAGAAAGGCAGAGAAGCAAAAAAAGGATAATAGGTACCACTTGGCCAGGAAAAAGGAGTGCAGCTTAAAAGAAACCTATTCTTTACTGTTCCTAGTTGTTTTGCAACTAATAGCTTCGTCGATAGTAGGCTTGGACTTTATCACCTCTATTTAATCACCAAAATTTCATATACGAGAGCACCATCTTCTGCCAGTTATCTTGTATACTGATGCTTTTGGCTTTCATGTCAAATATATAAAGAAGTCCCCAATAGTAGAGAAAGATTAACCTTTATAAAAACTGCCCTGTTGAAGTCACCTCACTACAGGTTACTACTCTCCAGTATTGAAAATCAATATTTCTTTTTGTTGGAAAATTTGGTTCAAGTAATCGTCAGAAAGAGTTCTGGCAATTATTAACCGAGGGCAATTGAATTAAACATTTTAGCATAATTATTTATAGCATTGGCCAGATATTTTGCACCAGAAGAAAAGTTATTTAAGTTATAAAAATTATTTGTATTTTGTCCTATTTGGAGAAGTCCTAAATAGATCTCAAAAAGTGACGAAGTTAATGAATTGAGGCAAAGAAATTATCTGAAGTTGGGGAAAAGTTAAACTTTGATTATCAATATTTATTCCCAATAAACAATATATTAGAACGATACTAGGTGAAACAACATGTTTTGGATGAACACTGTCACCAAAGTAAACATTGCAAGATGTCATATTAACCAAAGACAGGCTTGAATCGCCACTGCAGGTGTATGCAGCTAATGTAGTAGAGTAATTTTGACCTATTTCCAACTTTACTTTAAGAGAGCAGTCATTGGTACAACTATCTAGAGTTATTGTATATTTTTGATTTGAATGATTTCCAACTTCCTTGCAAAAATATGTTATGTCTGTATAAATGGAGAATGGGTATAAAATATACTATCTTATTTATTAACTTGTATTAAATCTTTTGCATATATAGAGTTGTATAAATTAAATATAAATCTTGCAAATGACCAAGTATTAACAGATATAAAAAAAAGAGGTAAAAGAATAATTAAACCAAAAAAAAATTTTTTATGATAAAATCGTAATTAATAAATAATACTAATCCAGATAGAAAATGATTAGAAGTTTCTAATAAAAAGAAATATACTTTAAGGGTAGAGATAAAATCTCTAGTTATTTATAATCTATTATTTTATATTATTAATATAATATACTAATTAAACAAATCTATCACTACTATCCAGTATATGATTCGTTATACTATATGAATTTGGGTAAATTGTCTGTAGAGAAATGAATTATGAAAATAAGACGCAATCTATTTATTCCTATGCTTATAATCTTTTTTGCTAAAATTTTTCTGATAACATGTCTTAAAGAAATCTTTTTAGTCTTATATTATATGTTAGAGAAGCTTAAAAAAGCAATTACATTTGTTATTTCTGACTGATGAACTATTATATAAGGCTCTTAACACAATAAAAAAATTTGGCATACAAATTCTAAATTTCATATAATATGCATACTGTGAGCCCCGGAAACTGATTCAATTGCTGCGGTTCAAGCGTGATTTAAGATCATAGAGATAAGTGCAATTTATTACATTTATTACATTAATTACATTTATTACATTTATAGAATTTATTAAACTAATGGAATTTATAGAATTTATTGTATTTATTACATTTACAGAATTTATAGAATTTATTCTATTTATTACACTGATTGTAACACCAAAGATTTTATTATAAATAAAGGCCGTGAAGGCCCTGAGAACAATAAGTTCCTTTTACTTATAACTATCGATCCCTAATAAAAGCTACTAAATTGACCCAATTGACCCAATTATCCTATATAAACCCAAGTCTTTAAATAAACCCGCTAAACTAAAATACTTCTTACCCTGATCAATCACTAAGTGGCATAGTGAAAGATCTTTGTTTATTGATTATCTTGCTCACATGACTTTGAAAGAAGATTGCTTTCTGGTTGATTCTCAACGGACTGAGGACCAAGCTGTGGGTTTCCAACATATCAAGGACTAGTTGTGGTTGTTTTCCAGTTTTCCAATTGTCTGTGGAAGCTGTGATTGTATTATTCTGGTTTGAGGTCAAGTGGAGATCTTAGCCGTGGTTTGATTGAAATTAGTGTGGATAGAAAATATAAATGTTAGTGTGTATTAACAAGATCCAATACAAGTTAAAGAAGAAATACCTACATCTAAAATCACCCACTTGCCAAATCTAAACACCTCTTTGACTAAGCCAAATATAGATTACACAAGGCCTTGATTTAATTAGCGACCGACTCACCATTTTAGGTTGTTAATGCTAAGGACTAACATGCCAAGAACCAGCATTACCACCTAGTGAGGGTGTAGTACTGGTGCAGTCACATGATAATCTGACCTTATTTTATTTTGATTGCTATTGCTATGCAATAACCTTTTTAATAAATTTATTAAGGTTCAGTATAGGAACATAGTTAAATTACCTCTACAAAAAATTTTTACTATAACATTGTCGGCACATTATAAGAAAGTTAACTGTATATGTAAGTTTTTATTTATTTATTTATTTTTTATATTTCAACAAAAAATCATGTAAAATACAAGAAAATACGATTCTATAAAAAAAAAATGTATAAAATTTGTCTAATATCTGTATTACATTGTGAAAAATGATTAAAAAAGTGCCATTATGTCTATTTTTTGTCTAACATTTGTCTTGATAATAGGGTGATAAAAAAAAACAATTATAACATTATTCTGAAGTCCGCAGGCTAGAAAAAAATTTCACTACAACTTATATTAAAAATACTTTAATAATTCTGTAATTAATTATACCAAGAACTATAACAAGAGTGAATAAACTGGTTCTTTCTATTATTTAACTCGTAAGTATATTTTAGAACTCCATGGCTTCTTTTAAATTATTTATTTATGTTAATTTGATTTATAAAAGCAGGTTTGTTTATAAATCAAATTACAATAGAAGCTTACAATAACGAACTTCTTTATAATGAGTCCTGAAAATAATAAACTATAAAAATTTAAGTCTATATTATTAAGTTTGGAAATTGTAGATTTTTATATTCGATGATTCTAAGTCATTTGTAAAAATTTAAGTCTATATTATTGAGCTTTGAAATTGTATATTTTTATATTCAATAATTATATGTCATTTGTAAATTTAATTCGAGTTTTACGAAATCTATTTGTGATTATTATTTAATCAATTTTAATATACTGTATATATAACTATGTATTTTGGCCTAATAGTAATAGTTTTGTATTTAAAAACAATTAAGAAAACTTTCCCTTTCTAAAAAAAAATTTGAATAAATAAATTAAAAAAAGGATTGATAAAAGGACAAAAAATAAAAGTCAAAAAAATTTTGAAAACAATTTTAATTTCTAGAGAATTGTAAGGCGAAATATCATGTGACTGGAGCTTCAATCATATTTTTTCAGGACTACCCGAATTGAATTCTGATTCTCTTTTATGAATCTGGGTATAATTCGAATTGAATTTAATTTGAATTCAACCCAAAAAAATCATTAATCGACTAATCAAATTTGCGAATTTTGGAGCTGGTAGAAAAAATTTTTTTTTAATATACATACTGTATTATAATTTTATTTTATTATTACTAGATGTTAAAACCGTTATTAACTGATAGGTTAGATTTTAACATCTCTATTACTATACCTAGCAGGATAATTAGCATTTTCAAAACTTCTTTATGTAATACACAATATATAAAGCAATATTATGTGAAGCTGGTTAGAGCCTGATTTGCCTTCATTTAATATAAATTAATAAATCATTTTAGGCAGAAAAATATTTTAAAAATAAGTTCATTAAAATAAAACTTACATGCTTGAAAGTTTTTATTTTGTTTTATAGATGCAGATAGCCATGCATTCACTTCAGCTATTTCAGTATCTCTTAATCAGTTTGTTATAAGTAAATTGCACTCCTGAGTTTCTAACAACTCGATTCTTGTAATGCTTGCAGCAATTGACTTAATGAGATCATTCTAACTTACCACATTACTGCTATGGATTTAATAATGTCATTATTATGATATTTTTTCTAAACAAACACATTAACAAAAGTTTACCCACAATCAATTCACTGACAGCTAATTTACTGACACCTTAATTTGTGTTGGGGAGTTGGTTGCTGGAGAAATGATTGTTGGAGAAATTTTTCCAAAGAAATATTGAAAAAAGATATAGAGAAATGATATTAAACCAAAATAATGATAAATACTTGTTGTTAATGGCTCTTAGGTATACATTTCCACCTCTAAAACTGAAACTCTCTGTCAGAGAGATTTGATTAATTGATTTGTTCTAGTATTTGTGTTGTCTTGCAATGCTTTAACTTGTGAAACAATTTCTGAATCATATTGCATTATTGTATAAATAAATGCCAAATAATTTTTTTGTGGTTGAAATGAGGAGGAATCTTGAGTGGAGAATATTCTATCACACTAGCATACACAATAATGCAAAATTTATTTTCACAAAAACTTTTATGATAAGAATATAAAATCAGATCACTCTAAAAAATATATCTCTTTTCTAGTCATTGTAAATGTCATAAAAAAAGTTTGTATATATTTGTTTTGAAGGAAGCAAATATTGTAAAGAATAAAAGACCGTGAGAAATAGAGAAATGTCAGTTGATGATCTTATCAAATTTAGTACTACAGATATTCAGATAGCCCTATGGATAACTGGATAGCCCTCAAGATATCTGGATCATGTGAATTTTAGCCAATAATTAGTGTAACGTGAGAATAATAATTGCAGTAAATACAGTAAACTAGTAATTGAACACATCTAATACTGTGCTTAAGGTAGCTTGATAAGTCATAAATCAGAATAGAGGAATAGATTAGTCATGCAACCAAAATTCATTAGATCATTCAAATTTTCAGTTGGAATGAATCAAAACTGATAAATTTTGCCAGTAATCCAGTGCAGCACCCAGATTTGGGAGAGCAGTAAGTTAGATGAGCGGTTTTGCTTTGGGCTGCATAGGTTATGTGGAATGAATATTTTATAAAAATTAAGGAGTATAATCATTAGAGCAATCGAATTATTTTGTTAGTGTTCAACCTTATTTCTCCTATTAAATCTTTCATCTTATTATCTATCTATCCTCTAACTTTATTAATAAAGGTTATACATTATAGTATTCACATTCTGCATCTGATTTAGTTATAATAAGAAAATGTAGTAATAATCTATGATGTATACAATATTAGGCAAAAATTGTCAAATAACGGTAATTTGGCAAATGAGCACGTGCCGCTTTGCGGCACGTGTAGCCAATCATTTGACAAATTACCGTATTCGACAATTTGCCCAATATTGGTGTTATCTGGCAATTTATGATCATGATTGGTAGGGAGTCGCTTGCTGTGTTTTAATTTTGAATACTGGAATAAACATAATTCATAGTAACACATGAAAAAAATAACAAAAAGAATTTTTTTAATGACCATATGAGTTTGCCAAATAACAAATTATTATGATAAAATGTTATCATGGGATATTCCCATCGCATGATTATGGTCTTCTTCACCTAAAATTTTGCCGATCTGATGAATTTGGGTTACATGACTAATCTATCCAGAAAATCGCTTGCTACCGAAAGATCCCATATGTAACTAACGAATGAGCGATATAATATTAGTGACGCTAAGGGAAAATTGGACATTGGTTTATCATTGATTATTTATTTATTTAAATAATAAATGATAAACCAATGTCTCATTTTCCTCTGCTGTCACTCATATTTAATGTACAATATAAGATAGTTAAATGTATGAATCCAGAATGTATAGAAATTATCTGAGCACTGTCAAGAGAAAATGAAACTTCGAACTTTCAAGCTTATCATTTATTATTCAGCTCGTGAAAAAACTGATCAGTGATATATATTACATGTCATAGATGGTTTTTAAAGGCCAAATCCGGTAAATAATAAATTATAAAATGGAAAGCCCTAATATAGGTATCATACCATACTTAAATTATAATTTAAGATACTAATTTAGAAAATGTAACTTGCATGTAAACACAGGTTGAATCAATGAATACTGGGAGAAAAATTTCCCGATATGTACCCATTAATCTGCCATAGATCCACCAAATACATGCTGAATATCAGCAGTATATTAGCAGCACATACTCGTTAAAGCGAATCAAATTAAACTTATACTCACCCTGGTAATTTATTTTAATGATTAAATAATTATAGTTAATCACACATTCTCTTGAAGCAGAATCGTTAAAATGAATCGAATTAAACTTCATACTCACCTTGGTATTTTATTGAAAGATTGAAAGATTATTGTTAATAATCAATGTCTTGAAACACAATCGTTAAAGTGAATCGAATTAAACTTCGTATTCACACTGGTAATTTATTTGAATGATTAAATGATTACAGTTAATTGTACATTTTCTCATTAAAATAAAGGAATTAAAAATTACTTATTGAACGATTAGTACTTTAGTGATAATCTACAGGTTGTTTATAAAAATATGATTTTCACTATTAAGGTTAGGGTTTTATTTTGCGTATTTTTTTACAGTAAGGTGTAAATTTTGTGTACTTATCTTATAAAAAAAGCCTTGCATACAGCTATTAGTAAAAAATTTAAAAATCACCTTACCTATATATGTATATTTCGTGACTATTTCGGGGTCCTGGTTCGTATACTTCACGTTTGGCCTTTTCGATTCTTATTTCTTTAGATTTATTTGTTTCATTCATGTGCTTCGTCATTTCTTCTTCGTTTTTACCTTTTAGGATGCCCTCAATTTTATTCTTGAGCTCTTCAGGTTTTTTGGATTCAGATATCCAAGTTTCCAATATTTTTAGGCAACTATCGACTAAATCTTTTAGTATTATCTCAGGACCTAATTCGATTTCTCGCTTCAGGTCTTCCTTTTTCCTGGTTGAGTCTTCTCCACAACCTTCGCCTGGTACTCTCAGGTCATAGTACGATTCAAGTACTTTGGTTATTGTTAGATTTTCACGGTCCTTATGCTGAGACATTAGTTTATTTATTATCTAAATAATAAATGATAAACCAATGTCCCATTTCCACTCGTATGTTGCAGATAGGAGTTCATTCTCTAAACACTAAAGTACGCATTTCTAATTTATTTATGACAGTAATAATTATTTTTTGGGATCAATCCTGGTTTCAATATTCTTGTACTGGATAAAGCTCTTGATTTAACGTTATCAATTATATCACGAGTTTTATTGCACCTATCTCTAATAGGAAACGCAGAGCAAGCATAATAAATGCACGGTTTTGGCATGCATGAGAGAAGCTAAAAGAAAACCTATGATTGATAATCTAAGTTTCAGTTTCCGTAAGTTAAAAAAAAAAAACTTATCACATTCAAAACTGAATTATAAGTTTTTTTCACATAATACGTACGTAATGGATGCATCCTGAGAATTTATACATAACATATTAAAGTTTCTTATCATATGCAAAGAATAGTCAAATTAGTAATTAGTTCTAATACATATCGAGCGCTTGCATGATAAAGTACACAGATATAGACGGATGTAACCATCAAACACATCATTATTTCCGAAGTAATGTAGAAATCCAGCAGCAATATTTACGCCTTCATCATGGTTTTAAATAAGTTACCACATTATTATATTAACTTTTAACATTAAAGTAGTAGGTATCATTGTCATAATGAGGGCCTTTTCCAACGCTAAGTTTTAAATTTGACATTTAAGTTTGATTAATAGGGCAGTCTTGATAATCGTTATCAATACAAATAATGTACAGATAAATAGGATAAATGATTATCTTGATAATTCTTATTATAAATGTACAGTAAAGATTAACTATGCACGATGACCGAATTTATTAGCGTTATTACAATATAATATATTGTTTGAGCCGTGAACCTGCACTTACATCTCTTCTCATATGACATGGATCAAATACTATATATATATGTATATATCCTATATATACGTATGCACGTATCAATTAAAAACTTGCGATAAACCCTTAGAAAAATGGTGGCAGACATTTCAGAAGAATGGCTCAATGAAGCTATTTCTAAAGAACTCATTAATTATTGTGAGTTTAATAAGTTTACGTTTGTTAAAGAAATTGGCAAAGGAGGATTTGGTTCTGTCGCCAAATATAAATGGATAGGCGCCGAATTTGATGTCGCGCTTAAATGCCTTAAAGTTGATAAAGAATTAAGTGGAAAAATAATTAAAGATTTTATTCAAGAGGTATTATTTATTATATTGAAGACTAATTCTTTTTATATAAATTAAATCATGTAATAAATATCTGTAACTCATATAATAAAAGCTTAAGTTATTACGGAAAGTTGCTGGTCATAAGAATATTATTGCCTTTCATGGAATCACAAAAGGTATACATTTCTAACTTTTAAAAGTAAATAATGTTTGCAGTTATTTTTATTAGAGCATTTATTATAAATAAATAGACAAGGACGGACATTACAGCATGATTTTGCAATGTGCCGACGAAGGTAACTTGAGAGAATACCTACAAAAGAATTTCTCGAAATTGCAATGGATAAAGAAATTATACATTGCAAAGGACATAGTGCATGGCCTAATGTTTTTACATGAGAACAATATTGCTCACAGAGATCTTGTAAGTAATTTTACATTTCATAATTATAAATTATTAATAATGTTGTATCAGATAATTTTAATCAATATTATTTTATAGCATTCGAAGAATATTTTAATTGACAATGGTCGTCCAATGATTGCTGATTTTGGTTTATCAAAACAGATAAACGAGTCACTAATGACTTCGAATTCGAAAATTCATGGAATGCCAGCCTATATTGATCCCCAATGTTTCCTCAACGAGAGATATAAACGTGATACGAAATCAGATATTTATAGTTTTGGAGTAATCCTCTGGGAAATTTCAAGTGGAAGACCGCCATTCGAATTTGATAGATCAAGAGAACATATAGCTTGTAAAATTTTCTCGGGAACAAGAGAAAAGCCAATAGAAGGAACGTCATTAAAATATATTGAACTTTATACGAAGTGTTGGGATACCTATCCTGCGAAACGCCCAAATGCCGAGTCTGTCTTTAAAACTTTAAGGCAACTCATTGATGAACTATCAAGGGAATTAATTGGAATTAATGAAGGTTCAAGTATACGAAAAAATAAAGATTCACAAAACTCCAACATTTTCAACAGTTCACCATCTCCACTTTCTTTATCAACTGATAAAAGTCAAAGTAAAAATAATGAACATACTAATGGGTTGATTTTATCATTCATCAAATCTTTCTTTACCAAAAAATCAAGTCCAGACGAACAATTTCATAAAACCTCTCCTCCACAAAATAGTAATAATAAACCATCTTTCGTAAACCACCAAAAGGCATCTTCTCTAGATACAATTATAACACCGCAGAATAAAAGTATAAGTCATAATATAAGAGCCTGCTCACTTGATACAACCATTTTAAAGAATTATAAGGAATTAGAAAAAGTTATTCGCGAAAATACTTCACCGGCTTTAGATATTGAAAAATATAAGATTGAAATTGGTCCTGAGGAGGCAAGATTATTGGCAAAAGCACTTAGAAGTAGCTCCGTTTTAACTTCTTTAAATTTAAGTTTTACTAAAGTAAACTTTGAAGGAGCAAAACTGTTATCAGAAGCTCTTTGCATTAATATGACTTTAACTAATTTGGATCTTAGTATGAATAAACTTTGTTCTGAAGGTGGAAAATCATTAGCGGATGCCCTTTCGAAAAACAAGTCATTGATATCTCTGAACCTTTTTAGCAATGGCCTTGGCTCCGAAGTAGGAAAGGCATTAGCAAAGGCTTTGTGTGTGAATACAAAGCTAAAGTCATTAAATGTTAGATATAATAGTCTTGGTCGTGAGGGTGGAGGAGCTTTAGCTAATGCACTGATCAGGAATAATATTTTAGAAGCTTTGAATATTGGATCAAATAATATTGGTCCTGAAGGAGCCAAAGCATTTACAGATGCTCTTAACCAAAACAAAACTCTAAAGACTTTAATTCTTGAGAATAATAAATTAGGACCCGAAGGAGGGAAGGAATTAGCAAAACTCCTTTCCAATAGGACGACACTAATTACTTTAAATGTTAAAGATAATGATTTTGATGCACCAACTAAAAGAATATTAAACGAAAAGCGATCAAAATATATTGAAATATCTTTTAAATAAATGTAAAATTGTAGCGAACTCATTATATATTTTTGTATACCTAAACTTAGTAATACAAAATTGTAAATTTAAATTAATAAAATTTTAGGTTTAATTAATACGAAATTATCCCATTTCTATAAGTGGCGTGCAAATTTAAATTAATATTATTAATTAACTTTACGGGACAAGTGCAGCTTAGGTTAGAACGCTTATATGAACAAAATAAAAATGATAGGATGAAATTTTACTTATAGAAATCCGCGCGACCTTTAACCTGGTCCTTGCCAATGCTTGTTCAAAAATATGCAGTATTAGTATACAAAAATTGTCGAATAACGGTAATTTGGCAAATGAGCACATGTCTCTTGCGGCACGTGTAGCCAATCATTTGTCAAATTACCGTATTCTGATCCTGATTAGTAGGGATTCACTCGCTGAGAACATAATTACATCGTAACACATGAACAAATAGCTAAAAGAATTTTTTCATGATCATACGTATGAGTTTGTCGGATAACAAAATTTACATGGCAGCATTAATGTGATAGAGCTGCTACATTTTGATATATATTTAGACAGTTTGGGCTACATTTTTAGAGATCACATGTTGTCATCCGTCAATACGCATAATTAAAAAATACGTAAAATAAACTTTACCCATTAACGTTAAACTGTTTTTTTAGTTCTACCGAAAAAGAATGTATTGTGATCTAAACTATTGTTGTTCGGATTCTAATTCTAACGTTAACAAAGACTGGTTAATTCAGTAGTGATGGATGTGTGTATACGTTCGTACTGTACATACATACGTATGTATGTACGTACGTACGTACACACGTACATACGTACATACATAAACAAAACCTGTAATCAGTGCACAATCACATGCAAAGGGATTTTGATTAGTAATTAGTGCTAATATATATCGGGACGCCTGCAGTAGAGAGTGTAATTTATCATTTTGTTCTGAATTGCAAACTGACAATTATTAAAATTTAGAATTTAGGATATTTGCGTAGTTTTTATAAAGCTTTGATTGCTCTTTGATCTAATCCTCAAAACCTTAATTTTACAAAATTGCCTTAATTTTTTTACATTTTAATAAAGGTAGTAAGCGTCCTTATCAAGCGAGTGTTTTTCCTAGATATTGTCCTTTGATCTTACGCTCCGTTAATAATCACGAGAATGTGAGGTCTATTCTTGAGCTCTCTATTACTGTTCATTACGATATCTTATATACTGATAACAATTACTCAATACAGTCAAATATCTTTATAGTCACCTCCTATATGAGCACAGTCAAAACTTTCTAGCCACACCCACGGGATACAGAAAAGTGTGATTATAGAAAGGTGAGCTAATTATAGAGGTCAAATTTATTACATTTTATAGTAGATAGTTTTTTTTTTAAAAAAAAAATAAGCTTATAAAGAAAATGTTTTTATATATGAGGTGACTATAGGGTAGTTTGACTGTATACTGATGATGTAAAGTCAAAGATCGAAAAGATGCTAGCATGGTCGACCGGAATAAGTCCAATTTCGAATAGTCGAAGGAGACAAGCAGTAATCACTAACTTATTAAAGGTGACAATGAGAAGAAAGTAAACCCTTAGGAAATGCAATCGGGAACTATATCAACAATCATTTACTCAGCTACAATTCGCTACCCAACCCTCCCTCCCAAAGGAATCCAATCATTTTCATAAATTTAAATGAGTTTCAATATCACGTGTTCATACTGACGGCCGGCCTGCCTGCATTATGTAGTGTGAACCCTGATATCTGACTCATTTACTACGGCTCAGTACGACCCACGATCACGGGTCAAGCACGTATTTATGGATTTATCGGATTTATTGCATTTGTCGCATCTATAAAATTTGTTGTAATACTGAATCTTTTATTATAAATAAAGGCCACGAAGGTCCTAGGAAATAAGTTTCGTGCTGCTTACAATTCTCGTTCCTAATAAGAATACACATATAACCTTTAAGCAGTGAATAAGATCTCAACTCAAAAATATGTGAATGTTGTACACAGTGCACATTGAATTTATGTGAATAATTTTAAAAATTAGTGCACTATAAATTTTTATAAAATAATAAAAGTATGTACACTATAAAATTTATTATATTAAATAGTTTGAATTATTAAACAATTGATCTGATTTTTTTTTATTTAAAAAAATAATTAGTTACAATATTCAAACATATGGGCTAAAAATTATTATTGGATATTATTATCTAATTTAAAGATTTTTATTTTTAATTACATAAATATAAAATGCTTTCTATTATCAATGGTCACTGTTTTCCCCACTAATTAAATTATGTATACTTAGAGATGGGAAAAATGCGCATTTATAATAACATGCACATGAATGCGCATTAATGTGCATGTAATATAAAATGCGCATGATATCTCATGATATAATGTTTTTTTGATTTATATTTTCCCTCTGAAAAATATTGAAAATTATTTTCCCAACCCTTCTCATCTTTATGTTCATTCATTTTTTTCAGAATTTTTCAAAACTTCTGTATTCCTATTTCTTAATTTTGCCTGGCATTATGCACCTTGGCCTAAATTAATTATGCTTTAATTTTCTATATAAAATTTAGATAGGAAAAAATGCGCATAATTCCGATTCATGCGCATGAATGTGCATTAATGTGCATGATTGGGAAATTATGTGCATGCATGAAACCCATCTCTATGTATACTTATTGATCATGTACACAATATGTTCTATGTTCACATAGTTAATATTTTATTAGTAAATTTGGTGCTGAAAATTGGTAAATTATGCGCATATTCAAGGCCAATAATATGTGAAATTTTTTAAAAAAATATAGATTTTATACACTGCATACAAGAACCTAATAAATATGCTCTAATAAAACTACCCAAAACCCAGATCTATCACAAAGTGGCATAGTGAAAGGGCTTCGCTTGCATATTGTTTTGCTTACATGACTTTGTAGAAGATTGCTGTCCAGTTGATTCTCAATGTACTGAGAACTGCTGTAGTTGTTGATTTCCAACTTTCCCAACGCACTGTGGTTAGTTATAGTGATTGATTTGATTCTGGGTTGACTAAGCCTTGGTTTTGTTAGTTTAATAAAGTAAATATAAAATATAAGATTACTGTATATTACTAAGTTCCAATACAAGTCAAAAGAAAACATATCTAAGACCCATGCCAAATATAGCCACCTTTATTTGGCTAAGTTACATAATGTTCTGGATTGTAGAATGACTGACTGGCCATTTTAGGATATCAGTAGATAGAGCAGAGTTAATCTACATAATCTCAACTACTTACAGTGATCTTCTGGTACAATATTATTTTTGGTTTAACTTTAATTTAATACATATCAATATTATATCTTATATATTCACATTAATAGCCAGCCTGTGTTATATATGTAGAAAACTACTGACTAGCACTAAGTGCCTGGTGATCTTTTAGTGAATGTTATTTGCTATTTTCAAGAGCTGCATAATTCACAACTATATGTGGCTCTTAATATAACATATGCCATAGTTCTAGTCCTTTGTTCTGTTATATCAAGAGCTCTGTAATATCAAAATCTCAAGATATGTATATCTGATGTTATAGTAAATTATAATAATTTTTCATATTAAGCAATATCTATTATATTTAAAGCCATGTGCAATATATTTTGATTTATCACTCTGGTATACTATATCAGACTACAAATATAAAAACATGTATGCAATGTTTTTTATATATCAAATTCTATTCTTAAATAACATATATCAATTCTGAACTAGCATAATTTTAAAACAGCATATAACTATATATACTAGTCAAAATAAGAAAATTCAGCACTACTAATTTCATAAGCAAATCAGCATTGTAAACCTTAAGTTGTAAACAAATTGGCATATGCCAAATTTGTAGTTTGGATTTTAATATAATTACCAATTTATGTACAAATTATATATATAACAATTAGCACCAAATCGGCATAAAACTCATATGCCAATTATTACAATCATTATAATTTATTATTAAACTCAGGCAGTGTTAGTGATGAGAATTTCTGATTATTAACAATTGTTAACAAATTATTAACTATATAAATTCTTTAACAATTAACAATTTATATAGTTAACAATTCATTAAAAATTGTTAATAATTAAAAATTCCCATCACTAGGCAGAGTTTGGA